GAGGCCTGGCGCCACGGGAAAGAAAACGGGAGGACAGACAGAGGGCCCTTCAGAGGCGGGAAGAGACCGTTTCACCCGAGCTCAGACCCAAGTCTGTGTGGCTCCTGGCTCCCACGGTCAGAGTCAAGGTCAGGGATCCCAGGGGGCAGATGGGACGCCACCGCCACCTGGTGGCCATGTGGGGCATCCCGAGGCGAACGCCGGGGACCTGGTGTCCAGCTGCGCCCTGGACGGTGCTGGGTGCAGTCCGGTGGGAGAGCGGAGAGTTCTAAGCAGCAGTTCAGGTTTGACATAAGACAGACGGGATCCAAAGCTGCTCCCAGGACGACGGGGCACTTCGTGTCGCTTCTCTGTGCCTTGTTTCCCCTTCTGTAAACGGCGGTAGTAACAGGACCCACCTCCTCAGGTGACCATGGGGATGACAGTTGACAGGTTTACAGGGTTAGCACTGGCACCGCACCCCGCCCAGGGCTCCCCCTCACAGATCTCTCTTCTCCCCGAGCAGTGCCCATCCCCCTGAGCCCGGGAGGCCTGCTGTTTGACCTTCTGTCTTCCAACATCAAGGGCAATGTCATCCAGCTCAACCTGCAGGTGAGCGTCAGGGAACCTCAGAGTAAACCGGGACCTTACTGCTCTGCCCTGACCACCCAGGGTCAGACCGCTGGGGGAGAAGACCCTGCTCACTCTCAGGGCTCACGGCCTGGTTTAGAAGTCACAGCAGCCTGAACAGGATTCTGAGGGAGAGGACCAGGAGGGGAACCTAAGGACCAGACACAGAATATGCACCCAGGAGCACTCCGGAACCTGACCCTGAACAGTCCTGCCCATCTTGAAACCTCTGGCAACATTGAAACCAGAGCTCAGAGTAGAGAGGCATCCTGGAAGATCACACAGACCTAAGTTTCCCAGCTCCGTGACTTCCTGGCTGTGTGATATTGGGCAAGTTTCTTCACCTCTCTGAACCTCAGTTTCCTTAGCTGTAAAGGTAAATACTATTAGTCACTGAGGAGAGAATAAAATGAGACCACAGAGGACCTGACAGGAAGTTCCCAGTAACTGTCCTCTAAAAAAATAGAGCTGCACACCCATCTGGGGGTGGTCTCCCTGAAGGGTAAGGCTAACTGGGGTAAATCCGGAATAGTTCTGAGGAATCCTTTGGAGAATTGCAGCATCCAATATTTCCACCCATTTTGTTATAATTTTGAGTTATCCCCTCATTGAAAGGATTTGAGGTGTCTGAGAAGTTGAAATATGTGAAAAATAAGATATTCCAATTGAAAGGCATGGCACTACATGCTTAAAGTCCCAGCTACTTGGGAGGCTGAGGCAGGAGGATCACTTGAACCCCGTAGTTCAGGGCCAGCCTAGGCATAGAACAAGACCCCAACTCTTAAATTAAAACAAAATCCAGAGGTCATTCAGGTGGCATAGATATTGCCAGACCCCTGGCATAACTCAAGGCACTGAATTCCAAGCTAAGATTCCTGACAACAGATGCAAAAAGGGAAACAGGCTGAATGGTGTCTGAGTGCATTTTGTGTTGTGATAACAAGCACCTGAGACTGAATAATTTATAAACACTTTAAGTTTATTTTTACACATGGTCTGGAAACTGGGAAGTCCTAGAGCATGGTGTCAGCATCCGGCAAGGGCTTTCAAGCTTGCATCACTCCATGGAGGAAGGCAGAAGGGCAAGACAGCAAAAGCAACAGAGGGCCAAGTTCACTTCCATCACAGCCCGCGCTGGCGAAAACATCAGTAACCCATCAGTCGTGACCTAATCGCCTTGTAGGGCCCTGCCTCTCAATCCTGTTGTCCTGGAGATTGTTTCCGACACATGAACTTTGGGGGACACATTTGAGTCACAGC